GGGTAAGCAAATGGAGATGTGCAGGTAGTGTAAGCTTAGACAATGTGTGTGCTGTCTATAACAGGCAGACTTGGAATACCTGGTTAAGATTTTGGATATTTCATCCTGGATCAAATACCTTGCACATTTCCTGAAACATTAGTGTCACTGTAAACTTGTGGCTTTTTCATATTCAGTTACATAGTGACTTATGGTATGTGCATAGTTTTGCTGATGGTTACATTTGGTCAGATCTACTAAAGCAGGAATACAACAGAAGACTTCAGCACTGCCATTGTAAGTACACAGTACAATTTTAATTGTTGTATGTACTGCACATGGACAGTATTCTCATGTTTAACCACCGCACTGCGCACCTGTTTTCGGCAAAAATGTCTTGGTGCAATTGTCAAGGACATAATTTTGTTGTTTTTATAACTGTTTAGGTAAAGTTAATGTCAAAATATTTCCAAACTCAACTATTTCCATTTAAAATCACAAAGAAAAATGAAAACATTAGAAAACATTAAAATATAGCCTAATTAAAAAAAACAGCACAACTCTGAAAGCGCCTAAAGGCGCTTTGTGCAGTGCAGTGGTTAAAAACATTGCAGGTCTTACCTTTACACATGTCCAGCAAGTACAGTAAATATTTCAGTTTTTCCTACATATATTTTGATACATTCATATTAAAAGACAGTTCTAGGTACATTATTTTCAGCACATGCATCTGTCAAGATATATACTAAAATGAGTGTTGTATTTATATTAAAAAATTATTATTATTCATGATTGTTTCCTCAAGTAACCAAACTTTGTATGTCCAGTTAGTGCAGATAATTGTAGTCGCACTGTTGTATTATATATGAAAAGTGTAAAATATTATTTTAAAGATTGACACATTTTAGGAGCCTCATAAAAAAATGGAATATTAGATGGGCAACCACAGATTTCGACCCAGTTTTCTTGGTTGATGAATATTGTACTATACTCCAAATTTCTAAAGTACTGTACAGTATTAGATTAACCATTAGGATGCGATTATAGTCTATTGGCGATCTCTAGGGCACTGCGATTATCATCAAAAGATGATTTAAACAATTATTGTCTGGGTTTTACATGTATGATGGAAATATGGATATGATAGGTTTATGTGGTTGTAATGGAGTTTACCTTGACCCATAACAAAAATCCTGCTACCATTTCATGGTACGAATGTGGTTATTGTCATGAATGTTGCTAGGTGAATGTGGTCATCATATGGTGATTTAAACAATTATTGTCTGGGTCTTGCATGAATGATGCAAATCTGGATATAAAGTGCTCTGTAGATGTAAATAAAGAAAAACCAGTGATATATCAATTTGTGAAACATCAGAGGAAGTGTCAAAGAAGTGTCAAAGTAGAGCACTGGGTGTTGACATGTGCCAAAGTAGCCTTGCAGAGCGCCTCCATCCAGTGAACCCATAAATATTCACTGATTTTCGTGTTTTTCTTACATTTTGCATACAAATTAACAATTCTATAATGAAAAATTTTTTGGAATGGTTTTATTTTTTATGCATAGGTCATGCATAATCTAGGTTATGCAAATGGTCATGCAAATTTTTGACCATTTCTCCACAGCCTCTGTCTAATAACTATTGTAGTATTGTGCATAAGTGGCAGTATTATATATTAAATGACTTGGGTATTGATATGTTACAGAAAAATGTTTTGAGTGCCAATAAAACAAGTTTTTAATTATGTTAAACAATTATTAATAATTATTAATGTATCTACAGTAGCCGCATTAAATATATTACTGTTCACATCTTTAGGATCTTACTATATGCAACCTTGTTTAAGGTTCTATAATCTGTTTCTGGTAATTCATGAAATTTTAATTTTAATTGGAAAATAAATTTTGTACTGGATAAAGACAAGCTTCACCTAACTCAGCATGCAGCTACTGTCAAAATTGTCACCTCACTTGTGTAGACCCCCCCCTTCCCCCTCCCCCCCCCCCACCTTAAAAAAAAAACTTGAAACTCTCACATAAGTTCAACTTTGGGAAAACAGGAAAGGCAGGCATGATCTGCCACTGGTGCAAGAGCTGCCTATGCACCCACAGCACATTGCTAAAAACTACAAGAAATAAACCCCAGTCTACCTCAACCTCCCGGCTCTGCAGAGAAGCCAAAGTACTACACTACCTGGGGTGGGGCACCTTGTAAGGAGGAAACCCCAAGGAGCAGACTCCCAAACCTTAACAGTGACGATAACCTTGAAAGGTGGGGGGCGATGGCTGGAGAAGGGAACGAGAGATACAAGCAGTTGATTCGAACAAGACTTGAGGCATGTGAAGCAGAAAATAGGGAAGCATATACACACATAACACACTTGGCTACAGGTAACACCTGGAAATAGCTGTCAGGGCACTAGAAGCTATCCTGTCAATAACACAAGGTGCTTGTCTGATGTGGGCAGCTGGCTGGAGTCTCAAGTTGCTGGGGCTGCTAGCTGGTGGTGGATGAGTATAACTGCCAACATTTAAGGCTGGACAACAAGTGTGTTCATAGTCTGTCTCAGGGTTATCAATATTTTCCATGCAGTTGCTCATTTTGGTGTGCTCTGCCATTCCGGCGTTTTTTTTTTTTTTTTACTTTTGGCCTGGGTCTTGGAACTCCATTTTCTTAGTTGAGGCCAGATTCTTGTCCTAATCCCCAATTGGACACTTGTGACTCAGTGGGGCTGTTAGGGGGCTAACCAGGTGGGTAGCATAGGGAACTACCAAAGTTACCCACAAGAAAGAGGTGTTTAATTACACTGAACACTATATTTATGCAGCAACTCTAGATGGGTTAGTATGCAATACTAAGGTCTCCATCTCACTGAATGGTTTGTCATTCAGGGACATGTAATTAGCTAACCAATACTGGGAAGCTTTGATTGGATTAATGGGAATATCAGGAACACAAGAGTGGATGAAGTAATTGCAAAACTCCAAGTACCTCATAGCAGCAAGTCTAAAGGGTCTAATAACTCGATATTAAATAAATGCAATATTTGAGAATGCTTGTATTAGCTCCCTCTTTGTATGATAAATGGTTGTATTAGCTCCCTTTTTGTATGATAAATGGTTGTATTAGCTCCCTCTTTGTATGATAAATGGTTGAGTAAAAATGTTTCCAGCAGTATCATACACACCCACAACAAGAAAAGGCTAAGGAGATTCATGCACTTCAAAAAGCAGTAACACTTTAAACAATTGCCTGCTTTATCAAGAACCAAAAGTCTTGCAAGCATTATATTTACTTTGATGGTTCATTTCAACTGTCAACAGGATACACTGCAAGGAATAAGTTTGACACAGAACAACAAAATTCATCCCTGAAGTAAGTCGCTCGCATACCAGAAAAGGTAAAGGACCTCAGGATTAACAGAACTACAAACTAGACATGACAGAGCTAATCTCAGAGACAATTAAAATATAGAACAAATTTAAAGATATTAATCCAGAACACTTAAAATAGTCCAATGTAGCTTCCACATGGGGCAACAGTTTCAAGCTCAACAAGCCACAATGTAGGACAGTAAATAGGGGATGGATTTCACCTATAGGGTAATAATAAACCCATGGACTTACCTACCCACTCAAGCCACAAATGCCAAGAGAGTACAACAGTTCAAAATTTGGCTGGAAAAATCTTCATTAATAATGGAAAGATCTTTTGACAATCCACTAGCTTCCTCTGTGTGTTAAGGCCACTAGAAACAGCAACCCTCAAGTATATTAAGAACTAGCAGCACTATAATTAGCTACTAGTACACTAAAAAGTGAACAGAGTAAGTTTTTGTGATTTAAAGTCAGCTTGAAAACATTTGTGAAGTTCTGTACAGTATACAGCAAGAATCCCATAATAGCAACCATTAAAAGAAAAAACTGGCTTGTTGCTCAGAATCTCTCTCTCAGCTGTCAGGGGCCTGACAGCTGAGTGGACAGCGCTTCGGATTTGTAGTCCTGAGGTTTTGGGTTCACTCCCCAGTGGAGGTGGAAACAAATGGGCAGAGTTTCGTTCAGCCTGATGCGCCTGTTCACCTAGCAGTAAATAGGTACCTGGGAGTCAGACAGCTGCTATGGGCTGCTTCCCGGGGGTTATGTAACAAAAAGGAGGCCTGGTCGAGGACAGGGCCGCGGGTACGCTAAGCCCCAAAATCATCTCAAGATAACCCTCTCTCTCACTTTTTTTTTTTTTATCCACACAGGAGAATCTCTCTTGAGTGGATATCAATACACACAAATATAATATAACTTATCATGATGACAGACATAGCAGCCAAAAGAGCATGTACCAGATGAAGTTGAAAAAGACCTGGATACAGTATACCCATCTTTGTTATTAAACTACTGTATATTGCTCCAAAGATTTGGGTCTGATTGGAGAGAAATTTCACTCTTGAAGGCCAGAAGCCATTGGCATACAAAATTCTAATGTTTAAAGTTGACACTTGTATATATGGGTAGCAGAAGAATGTACACAAGTTATGAGACATGCTTACCCCAGTGGGTAAATATTGTACATTGTACTTATAATTGGATAAATTTGAGATACAGTACCATACATGTTACAGAAAAAATGTGTACTCGAAGTATTTGCCGAGTAAGGTTTGCCTATACTTGGTACTGTAAGTACATTTCATGAGTACAGTATTTTCTTTTGGTAAATAGCCTTTTGTCATGGGGAAATGTCTAAAATTGTCGGATTTGTGATATATACTTGGATAAGGGACATTTATCTCCTTGAGCTGACCTTATGTGATCAATGCAGCGACTTCTTTTCAGCCTGTTGACTTTTCATAATCTTAGCCCTGTTCCTGTATTACAGTACTGTACGGTCAATCTTGCCTTGGTGTTTAATGTTTGAGCATGCTTCTTATATTAAAATGTTTACATGCTTGCTCATGAAGAATCTACAGACTTGAGACTGGAAGTAAATTTGCTAGTATTTCTTTTTTTTCTAATTGCATTTTTCTTTCAGAGTTCATTCAGGGAATGTCTCAATTCAGCGTCAAGGGTGACAAGGAAAGCAAGATGCGATTTGCTTTTCGCATCTATGACATGGACAACGATGGTTACATCTCAAATGGAGAGCTGTTTCAGGTAAAATTGTCTGAATCTGAATGTTGGGTTTACTGTACAGCATCCTTATTAAAACTATGGTTACACTAGGCTTGTGCTTTAGCAAGAAAGCAAGTAGGCTTTACTCCAAGCATGGTCTGGCACGGAGAAGGGAAATGGGTCAAAACATCTTAGTTTTGTTCCTAAGTTGTTAAATTATTATTCCAATATGATACTGTACATAACATTCATCATTCAAAATACTGTAGTATCATTTTATCAGAAATTAGACTAGTCTTAACTTTTTTTACCTGCTAATGAAACAATATTGAAATCCTATTTCATTGGTGTATTTAATTGTTGCACTTACCTCTTGTGTATGCTGTAATATATGTAGAGGAAACAGTTGGAATAAGGTACAAAGGTCATGTTTACTCTGGGCACCTTTATGGCTAGGAACAGCTCTGTTCAGCCCATCAGTAACTAGAGAAATTGCACAAGATGTAAAGAATGTTGGATTTTTTTTTTAACCCAGACACATGAGCAAAGAATGTTCAAGAGAATTGCAAGGCAACTTTGTAAGTCTGAGATAGTATTGATGAAAACAAATTAAACCTGCAGAGAATACATAGATCAATATCTTGAATCTAGCTTATACAGTATAGCATTACCTGTCGAATACCTGTTGATGATTCAGAGGATCAATGTCCTTATATTACGTGTGTCTTCAGAATCGAGCTGTTAGCTCTTGGATCCCGCCTTTCTAACCATCGGTTGCCTAATATATTGACTCGCGGCCTATTGTGGCCCAGAAGACCAGGTCTTCTGGTTGGTGGTCAGGTTAAATACACTGTTCGATGCGGCTGTTCGCAGCCTAGTTGATCAGGTAACCATTCAAGATGTTTATCAAGTTATCTTTTGAACACTAGTCAGCAAGGTGGACAGCCTGCCTGCTATCATAACTTGTACAGTGGAATCTCGATTTCAACGAACCTCGATCAATGGATCTCCAGTTGGAACACACGCACACACTTTCCATGCCGGATTCACTCGCTCGATTCAACGAACAAGAAGAATTGGATGTGTGGATTTGCTTACGATGTTGGGATTCAGCTTACAAATGAAGGCAACATTATGAGAAATAGTTGGGGGGGCCTTGGGAAAGCCACTTAGCACATTTAAAACCAAATTCTGTTTCTTTTTCATTTCCAGTTGTAAAGGTTTTCTTGCAAAAAAATATGGCCCCTGTTTCCTTTGGAAATTAGATTTTAAGGCTTAGACTATATGCATTTATGATTATTAGTTTATCATCCTCATGGCAGATCTCTAGTGCTATTATGTCAACTTCTTGTGGATTGGCAGTCATTATTTCCTTCACCTTTAGGTGTTCTTTCACCAGCACAGCAACGCCACCACCTTTCCTAATTTTTCTGTCCCGTCTCCAAATTGAGTAGCCCCTTGGGAATATGACCTCATTTAAAATAACATCTTCAAGTTTTGTCTCCGTGAGTGCAACAATGTCTGGTGTCTGCAGCTATATTACATCACTTAACTCCAGTATCTTCGATCTTACTCCATCTATGTTGGTGTATGCAATCTTCAGGAACTTGGGCGTGGGGAATTATGCTAGACAGGGTTAACTCCCTTTACAGACAGTATCTTTGTTGTTGCCCTTCAAATGACAGGTTGAAATTATAATTTCACTGTGAAATCGGCCCATAATGTGTTGCATCTCCAGGTACAACGAATCCTTAACCACAATGAACTGGTAAAGATAAAATTGAACACTGCTAGAGGTCAGCCAGTCATCCACCATATGTGTAGGAGTGTGTTGAAAAGTCTTGGGCCTTTGATGTTGATAAAGTTCTCTCTCAGCATGCCTATGCACCTCTGCTTTTCATTGGGGCTATTCTGCACATCCTGTCATACCTCCTGGCTCATGTGGTCTTATTTCTGTGTGCAGTTTTGGAACCAGTTCTTCTATTTTCCACGTGTAGATTATTATTATTATGCATCTCTCCTGCCTGCGCTGCAGGGAATAAAAGATTAAACAATTTTAGGCAGTCCCAATAATTTAGATAATTTATTGAGTGGATTCTAGCAGTAAAGGACTTTTGCACACTCCAGATCAGCAATTTCTCCAGCTTTGAATGGGGCTGTTAGTGTGCAACAATATTCCACTTCAGAGAGCACTGATGTCTTAAAAAGCATCATCATTGGCATGGCATTTTTTGATTGGACGGTTCTTGTTATCCAACCTGCCATTTTTCTTGCTGATGTGATGGCTATTTTGTTGTTCTTTATAAATAGTTTTCAGACTGTTTTATATGTGATTTCTGCTTTGATTTTTTTTTCACAGTGCAGTAATTGGAACTTATCCTCATTAAGCATCATGTTATTTTCTATGGCCTATTGAAAGAATTGATTAACATCAGATTGAAGGTTTGCTGTGTCCTCTATGTTGTCTACTCTCATGAAAATATTAGTGTCATCTGCATAGGATGATACAGTACTCTAGTTTGTAGCCTTGTCTATGTCTGATATGAGGATAAGGAAAAATACCAGAGTAAGCACAGTACCCTGGGGGACTGAGCTTTTCACACTGGATGGTTCAGATTTTACTTTGTTGGCTAATACACTCTGTGTTTTGTTTATTAAGAAGTTAATGATCCATCTCCCTACTTTGCCAGTAATTCCTTTTGTGCACATTTTGAGCGCAATAACACCATAGTCACATCTTGAGGTCATCTTGAGATGATTTCGGGGCTTAGCGTTCCTGCAGCGCGGTCCTCGACTAGGCCTCTCTTTTTTTTCTCTCTCTCTCTCTACACACCCCCAGGAAACAGCCCATAGCAGCTGTCTAACTCCCAGGTATCTATTTACTGCTAGGTGAACAGGATCATTTGGGTGAAAAAAACTGCCCATTTGTTTCTGCCTTCACCGGGAATCGAACCCAGAATCTCAGGACTACGAATCCTAAGTTCTGTCCATTCGGCCGTCAGGCCCCACACTGTCAAAGGCTTTTGCGAAATCTGTGTATATTTCATCAGCGTTTTGTTTGTCTTCCATGACATCTTGGGCCATGTCATAGTGGTCTAGCAATTGTAAGAGGTAGGAGCATCCTGTTCTGAATTAATGTTGCCCAAGGTTATTTAGACACCAATTTCATGTGTTTTGTGATCTTGGCACTTTTTCAAAGATTTTTATGATATGCAATGTTAGATCTATTGGTCTATAATTTTTTGCATCAGCTTTACCATCTCCTTTGTGCAGTAGTGCAATCTCTGCTATTTGAAGTACATATGTCCGGGATAACACCAGTATCTAGGCTTTGTCTCCAAAAGATGTTTAGGGCCTGTGATAGTGGTTTTTTGCAATTCTTGGTGAATATAGAATTCTGGGAGTCTGGGCCTGGAATCTTTTTTTCTTCTTTCAGTTTTTTAAAGAACATGTTTTTAATACCTGTACATCCCTAGTGTCAATATATCAAGAGAAAGGGGATTTGTATTTTATAGTACACTACTGTACTATAATATTTTATAATATTTACTCGTTTATCTATACTGTGCTTCTGATGTCTCGTTTGTTCATGTATTGAATGTTCTGTTTGCATAGTTTGTGTACATGGTAATGTGTATTTTTGCCCATTCATATATTTGGGTCAAATTTAATATAAATCTACATGTATTTTTTTAAATACTGTACATTGTTGTACTTCAACAGGTACTGAAGATGATGGTGGGAAACAACTTAAAGGATACACAGCTTCAACAGATTGTTGACAAAACTATCCTCTTTGCTGATAAAGATGAAGATGGCAAAATCAGCTTTGATGAATTCTGTGCGGTAGTTGGTAACACAGATGTTCACAAAAAGATGGTCGTGGACGTATAAATGTATTTGTGATTGTTGAATTTGGGTGCCACTGGCCTAAGGTGCAATGTAGCTGTTAATGTTTCTCTGAACTGTCGTGGGATAAGTGTTTTTTATGATAGTTTTGAGGACCGATCTGTGTTTCGTCAGTAGCAATATGTAACTCGATTTGATACTCCAGTGATGTAGTGGTCGTTTCTTACTATGACAGAATGAAACAGTATATGGATCTATATATTTATGCCATTGATTTGATACCTTGGAAGTGTTTCCTACAGTAGATCAGTATTGGATTTAAAATGAAAGACTTTTAAAGTCTAAGAGTAAAAATTATTTGCTATGCAAAAAATGGTAATCACAAAGTTTTTTTTATATAATATGCTTATGTTGAATAATATTTTTGTTGTGTTTTATGGGAGACTCTTGTATAGTCGTGTGTTGAAGCTTTTACAAGAAGCCAGGCTTCAGTGGCCCTGCAGAAGATATTGCGTTCAAGACATTATTATTATTATTTACTCCATGTCAGAGCTCATGTATGAAGTGGTTTTTATATTTGATCTCATTATCTTTAAACTCAGTGCATCCATTTTATGCTGTTAGATATTTTCTATAATTACAAACCAACTTTTGAATATTTGAAAGTAAATTCCCTCACTTCATACCAGCATCACAAGTTTTGTTAAATATTTTAAACTTGCATATCGTGATGGTGATGTGGTATTGCATGAGTTTTCTATGTTTATATATTGTATTGTGCATAATTAATTTTCACCAATTTGTGAAGGATTCAAAGATAACCAATGTCAATAGCTACTCTCTCTGTTGGGTGCAGGGTCAGTGGCTTAGAATTTTGCTTTAAAAGACAGTTTCCAATTGACAGTTAAAATTTATGTACCCAGATAAAATTTTTTACATTAAACGTAAGTAACTATTAATTTTAATATGACTTCAGTCGCTTCAATTTTGTTTAAACATTAAATATTGTAGCATGGTGAGATGTGATAATGCTAAACTCTGATAAAGAACTTCATCAATTTGAGTTATTGTTTATCAATGTGTATTATTGTTGTGTTGAGAAGACACTGGGTTAAGTTATTGAAAGGGGTAAATTACAAGGAAGGTGCCAAGTTTCTTCTTTTAAAATTTATATATTGTAATCAGTTTTGTCACTGAAAAATGTACAGTATTTATGAATTATAATAAAAATCCCATGTTACTGAAGGAAATTCATTGATATTTTAAGGTTTCACAAAATGGTTTACAAAAATACAAATATTTTTAGAAAGGCATTGACAATAAGTTGAAATCTGGTAAGTTTTGTATAACAGCAAGAAAAGGGTGAGTTTTCAACTAAACATATAACTAAATATGTGCATTTGGCTAATGTTACGAATTAAGTGTACATGATTTTAATGTACTCCATCTTGATTAAATTTAAGACTTCGAAGCAGAAATTTTTGATTAAGTGACTGTTTCTTTGTGTACATTTAATGGTACCTATTATTACTTTCTTCCTCATGATAAAAGCGTTATACTAAACGAACGAGGGTATACTATGTGATACTAGGCAGTGAGGTTACCTTGAGGTTATCTTGTGGCGATTTCGGGGCTCAGCGACCCCGCGGCCCAGTCGTCGACCAGGCCTCCTGGTTGCTGGACCGGTCAACCAGGCTGTTAGACGCGGCTGCTTGCAGCCTGTCGTATGCTCCATGGTTAGTGCTCCATCACTCGCGTGCAATACCCAGCTGCTGCCAGGGCTGAAGTCCTGTGTGTGGCACTTTACCTAGTCATGATGTTCGGTCACTCTTAAGTTTTTAGTGGCCATCGTTTGCTGTTCTAGATGGCTAATATGGTGACCACTTTCTAATTTCTAATGACCAGGCATTGAGTCTACTGTTCATACTACACACAGTAATGTATTTTATTGTAATATTTTTCTTGTATTGTAAATTCTCGAGAGACTCGTTTGTACTTTAGCTTCGCTTGGTTTAGTATAGAATATGTAACTTACATTGGATGCAAATATATTGAGATTTCAAGTGTAGTTTGAACGGGATATATTGCAATGTAATGGCCTCTTTTCTCAAGTATTTAACAAAATTTCTTTCTTTTTGTATAAGATATAATAATAGATGGCTAGTTCTTGTTATCCAGCAAATTTTAAAAGCAAATAGCTGAGAATATTGGCCTTTCAAAAGACTAACGAATGTTGATTATGCTAATACTTTGTTTTCCCTCCGTATGATATAAATGATATATGATATAAAGAGGCTTCTTATAAATTCTCCTTATGAGGGTTGCTAAGCAGGAGGAGTGTTTCGTATATCAAGTATTTTATTACCTCTCGTGTATTTGTTAATTGTTTAACACTTTTTGTCAGTTCAAAACAGAAATATTGAAAATGTTCCTTAATACCTCCACCTAATTCACAAAAAGACCTAATAGGTTTCATGTTAACAAAATGATCTTGCATATTCATTACTGAAATTACATTCTGAAAACAAGCTCTAAGAGTTTGATCATAAAAAATTTAGTTTTCATTTTCTTATCTGGTGTCAGTTATGTTAATACAAAGAATAAATTACAATGTGAGGAAAAAACCTACATGGGGGAGGGAAGGAAATTTATCTCGGAGAATGGTTCACTCAGAAAGGGTTTCTCTCTTTGTGAAAGCTCATATGAAAGAAACATTTTCCTCGCGTTGCTATTCCCACATAGTGGTTGTTTCAACATTGTCAGCAGGTATTGCGTACAATTATATGCATGTATGTTGCTCTTGGGTAATCGTAAGCAATTATTATTGATTACCGTTGTGAAAATAATCTTTGCAGATTTATCAACAAATTGTTTGAGCATATACTATACTGTAGACAAGTTTTGGTAAATACTTGGAATTGAATAGTAGTAAAGCAAAGTTTACTTTAAAAATTTTGTAATCAAAGCATAATATAATTTAAAAATGCAGTGCTTTGATAAAATTAAGGCATCTGAATTTTAAATTAAAATTTATTATGGTTTTGTTATTAAATGTGACCTTTTAATATTAATACTAAATCTTTTGTAATATTTTTAAGCAAGCAGTATAACTGTAATTGTTGATCATGGATATTTGTACAGGCTGGGACATTATATCTAATTCTTTTTAGTATAGTTGTTAAATACTGTATTTTGTTTGCGAGTTCTTGAGTTTGTGTGTGCTGTTCTTAGACACTTCAGATATCTCCTTAACCAGCATATGATTTTTTTTTTATTTATACGCTTAATATGGTACTCACTTTGGTACTGATAAGAGGTAGCCAAGTATGGACACCTCCCCAAACACCTTAAATTGTTTCATTGACTTGAAGGTGCACATATATAATATCAAATAATTCCTCATGTTGGTTAGAGTACAAGGGTGGAAATGTGAGAAGAGAAAAGTACAATTGGTAAGTGAGGCCATGAGATGATGTAATAAAAGAATATAAACAGTTTACCAAACTGCACTGAAGTACTCTAAAAGGGTAAACGGCACAAAGGGTTTACTTTTCCATGGAGGTGTAGGCGACCTTCGCTCTGTGCAGGAGGTTATGGTCTTTGAAAACCACACGCATCCAAAAGTTTATTTTCATCAATGCTTATTAATAAAAGATCTACCTGAACATAATTAGTTAATACTCTTGCCAAAATTTCCATCAATGAATGCAGCACATAATGAAAGAACAATACTTGGAAGGTGCCATAAGGCAAGAGTGTAATCCTCCCTCAAAAAAGTTAATGAACACAAGGTAATTGTGAGAACCATGAAGTTAGAGCAAGATATAGAGGCAGTGCACTCCAAAAACATCATTTTGGTTGCACAAATCTTTTGCCATATTTTTTAGGTACAGTCGAACCTGCTCCCAAGTATTCTTTAACAGCTCATATATGAACCTTTCCCCACCTATTAATACTTTGGCCCAAAAAAATGGTTTGAACTTGTGAGCTCCAAACCTGCACAGAGTGGTGGAATACTGTCCTGTATTTCTTTTGGAAACAGGCCAACCAGTTTGTTTATATTTCTTAATTTATGGATATTACACATTTTCTCAAATAGCAGTAACTGTGGCATATGGTTAAGGTGTTGCTGTGGATGGTACTTTCGTCTCTGGTGGCATGCTCCTTCCATTGCTTTTGCTGTTGTTTTGACTGCGTAATTTCTTGAACATTCAGTCAAAGGCCCAGATCAGCATATCAGTAGTAGAGATCCAAAACTCTTGCTTACAATATATCCAAGTGCTGTGACAACATTATTATTTAATGTTACCCCACAATCTGTATCAGTTTTACACGAGTTCTGGTCATTGTATTGTCAAGGTTAATTATTACAAAGGCACAACACTTGAACTCCGATTTGTGGTTTTTGGGACCTGGGGTAGAATTAGCACGTATAGAAAATAGTAACATCAGCTACAGTAATCTCATTATCTTCATTAAATACATTTACTTCTTAAAAGTACAGTAAAAATAAAATTGTCTATACTGTACTATATAGTGTACTGTGTGTGTTTCTCGGCTCCTTCCTTGTATGATGGTTTCTCTACTTTTCATCCTGGATAAGTTAGTTTTATAAATTGACATAAAAAAATATTAATTTTAAAGAAAACAGAAAAAGGTGGCATTTAAAAAATGTGCATAATTTTATTTTATTACATTGGTAAACTTGTAAGGTGTTGCCAGTATACAAGCAATGTCGGGAGAGATTAAAAGTTTTGTTTATAGGCAGTAGGCTTGAGGGCATACTGCAGTTTCATCCCAAGGCAGAATTCAGTTTGACTAACATTATCTAGTTAACTTATTCCAGGTTTCCCCTTGCCTTTTATCTCTGAAGCCTTGTTGTTGTTGAATCACCACATTTGTTATCAAGTCTGCTATACAAGAGGTGTGTGTGTGGTTGCATGAGAGAGAGAGTACATGAATGTAGAATAGTTATCAAATAATGAATGCTATTTACCATATCTTGAATGCTCCAATTTTCATCTTTCATCTACAGTAATATTTTGTTTGTACTACAGATGGCCAGATTATTTATCTTCAATGTACATAAATGTTAAGGCAAGCATGATACTTCACCTTTTCCTCCTTAAATAATATGGTAACAAAGACTTGTTTAGTATATGGTTATTTAATGGTATGAAGGCTGATCAAAGAATGCTAAATATCCAAGTACAGTACATGTTTTATTCCTCACTTTTGTACCAAAACTTTAGGACAGTAATTCATTTTAAACATTATTAAGCAGAAGGATTCTGTGACCATCAATAGATTTATAAAAGTTTCCAATGTTCTATACTTTAACCCTTGTTTGAAAGTATAATTGTCATGTGTATGTAGTAAGAACATGCCGACTGTGACTTACGTTTGTTTGGTATTTAGTCGTTTTTGGAAAAGTAAAAAAAGAGATATGTGATAACTACTGTGTGCTTATCTTCCAAATTAATATTTACTAATGTTTAAATGGTGATCACAAATTGTATTCTATCAAATTTTACCATAATCATGAATTTTTGAGAGTTAGTGAGAGGACAAAGATTGTGGAAGTATGTTGTGTCAATACTAGTATAACTCCTCTCTCTTATGGGTGTAAGAACAGAATCATGAGAGTTGGTTGTATTTGTAGCTCTTCAAGTTTTACATGTTATTGTAGTTTTTTCTCTCATTCCTTGTACTGAATATTCTACCATTATTTGAAATTGAGAAGAAATTGCTAATTAAGTTTATCATTGATAATACAGCTATCCAAAGACTCCTTACAGATAAAAAGTATTAAACTCATAGTATTAGAACAGGTCACAAGGACTTAGTGAAAATATAAAAAGTTTGGATACACACATTTGTAATTTTGTTAAGTCAAATTAGTATGTGGGGGCAGATGTGAAACTATCCTTTTCTGCAATAGAAATGTAGGTGAAGTGTCGGCAAAGACATCGCTATTCAAATTTAAATGACCACGTCATTATCATCCAACTCGCTTGCCACTCTTTTTTACCCATGGACTGTTTGCGAATGCATGAATTGAACTTCTCTGGCGCTTGTCATTAATGACTTAATTGGTTGTTTGTGGTTTTCGTCCTATTTCCCAACTTCCATGTAAACCCCCCATACAATTCAGACAAAGCTGAAAATAACCAATTTTGTCAGTTATGTTCTTATTGATGTATGGTTCAGTAAAGTCAAGATTTTCATTGAATTCTATAACTGGACTTTGCTTTTCCTTTTATAAAAGTACCACAATGCAGTACCTTGCAAAACTTATTACAATTAATTCATCACCAACAAAGGAGTAATCGACTTGTTGACCAGACCACACACTGAAAGGTGAAGGGACGACGACGTTTCGGTCTGTCCTGGACCAACTCAAGTCTACAGTAATCGACTTCTTTGTGGTCTGTTACTTTGTAAAAAAAAAAATCTGCTACCTTAAAATATGCATTGTTAGGAAGCAGAAAAAAAGGATGCATTATGCTTGGCTTGTATCATTACCTCTTGACATTCAAGTGTTGTGAGCAACTGGGTCTTGCCAAAAGATTAGATATTAGTGAAAACCTTATCAATACATTGTCTTTGATTTGCTTCATTTCCTCTCCCTCAAGAGTTTCACCTTGTCATGGAGGGAGTCTCACATATGACACCCTGCAGTCAGTGGGGGGTTGCCTTGCACCCCCCCACCTCCCCAGGTGTTGTACTGTGCGAAGTGAGGAGCTCCTGCTCGGGTCATCAGACCTCCCACTGGACGGGTCTTCCATGAGGGGCTGTCCTTGGAGGTTAATGGGTGTCCAGGCTAGGCCGAGAGGGAGAAGGTAAGTAATTATCAAAAAGAAGGCACCAAACGGGGAAGGCTATGTAGCACCATCAAATGTGCGGGATAATCAGAGGGTGCTAAATATCACCAAGGATGCTAATACGAGAACAGAAACGCATAAGGCGAACAATATCAAAAGTATCCGCAGGGGACGGTCGGAAAACAAGACACGCTCGTCCCGGAAGTCGGGACATTCAACAAGGATATGCACGACTGTAAGAGGGACAATGCAATTAGGACAAGGAGCAGGGTGGCGCTCCATCAAGTGACCATGAGTTAAGCGAGTATGGCCAATACGCAACCTTGCCAGACCCGTTTCCCATCGCCGGTTACAGTGGTAGGAGGACGGCCACGAGGACACAACTTTTAAGAGAACGTAGTTTGTTACCAGTAACAGACATCCAACAAGCCTGCCAACGGATAAGGATGGAGGAATGGATAACCAGGTAAAAGTCGGAATAAGGAATACCTTTACAAGAGCGGACAGCTTCCCTGGTGGCAGCATCCGCACGCTCATTTAAAAAGAGACACCAATATGGCTGCGAACCCAACAAAACTCAACCGACTTAAATTTACTGTGAACAAGAAACAGCCAACCAAGAGGGAGAAAGGCGTTTGGATGCGTGTAGGAGCATGTACGATGCAGCAGGATATTCTCCTGTTAAAATGGGGTGCACTGCTTGGTATGATGCACCCCTTCCTGCATTAGCCACTAGCCTTCCCTTGCTGCCCCTAATAAGTGGTATCTCTTGGCTCTGGAGCCCAAAGTTTTTGAAACTACTGCATGGTAATTAAAACAACTTTTCAAACACAGGCTAATGGGTTGGGTGAATAGGCCCCAAAGTTGGACAGTAATGGAGATTAGGTTCTGTAGTCCCAACTATGTTTGGCCCAGACCAAGCTTTGTCTTTGGTTACCCCAAATGATCCCCTCCTATTAACTTGGCAGGATTGAGCACCAAGCCCCGGTGATGACTACCTCATTTGGAGTGACTGACTTTCGTTGCAAGAACTGGGCCTTATACCTTTCCCCTTAATGGTGACAGCGCTGTCACTGCATTTGTACTGTCGAGAAAAGATTCCTATAAACATTGCTACATTCCATGATCCGTGTGATCCTGCTACATAGCCTAAGTATCTGTATATTTGTCACAATGAATGATACCCTGATGATTTACACATACATAGGTACCTTGTTGACACTAAATACCTATATTATGACCCCTTCTCAGGAGGCCACAACATGGTCTAAGGTGTGTGTATAAACACACCTTAGCGAGTGAGAGGATGTTGTAGGGACCACTTAAGGTAGCGACTACAGTAATGATCACGACGATCTTTTAAGAGATAGGATACCAGTTTCAACATACAGGGTCAGGGTAGGGGAGGAACGAAAGGCATCAGAGCCGAGGCGTAATCCAGTATGGTGCAGAGCATCAAGACGATGAAGAGTTTGAGAGGCACACGAGTAAGCGGGACAGCCATAATCAAGTTTAGACAGCACAAGAGAGGAATGTAAATAGAAGAGTGTGCATCTATCGGCTCCCCAGGAATTATGGGAGATGACCTTAAGTAAGCTAAGGGCCTTAGTGTGTTCAACTCTGAGGCAAGAGATATGGGGCAACCAAGACAAAGGAGTGTCAAAGATTAACCTCAAAAGTTTAGCAGAATATACAAAAAGAGGACTACCATAGAACAACGAAGAATGATCTGCATTCGAGTAAAAGTCATAGCACAAATCTCTGCTGTAGAGAACTTGAAGCCATGATTGGTGGCCCAGGGCAACACGGTATCAGTTGCAAGTTGAAGCCGCTGTTGGAGGAAAGGCGAGTCATCACTGCAACAGCAAAGAGTAAGATCAATAACATAGCTGAGAAAATTCCAGAGGGAAGATCATTGAGGCAACCAGGAAAAACAAAAGTAGTGCTCAGAACACTACCTTGGGGTACACCTTTATATTGCCAAAAAGAGGCATAAAGAGTGGTACCAAGCCTCACTCGAAAGAAACGACTAGAGAGTAAGCTAAGAAGGAAGATAAGGAGATTGTCATGAAGAACAAAAAATGGAGTTGAGACAATATGGTATCTCTAGGTGGTGTCATATACCCTTTCCAGGTCAAAATGGACAGCATGAATGAAGGTCTTTGAAGCAAAGGCAGTGTGAATATAGACCAGACATAAATCATGCTATGACACTTGTGAAAGTCAAATTGAGAAGGAGAGGTGGCATTAATGTTCTAAGAACCACATCAAATGGACATTGCCCATATGTTCAAAAAGTTTGAATAAAAGTAACAAAGCAACTTGTTAGGGCAATGGGGGGGGGGAGTAAAGTCCTTAGAAGACATTCTTAAGAGAACCTGGTTTCTGAATAAGAATAATAACCAAATCAAGCTAATCCTTGGGGACTGACAACAACTCATATATATAGTTACAGTATATATATTTAATAAATACTGAAATGTGCATGGAGGGAAATGGGGAAGCATCTTGTAATGAATGTTATCTGAGCATGCTGCTGTAGAACTGCAGAGGGTCAGGGTAGACTGGAGTTCAGAGAGAGAAAGGATCATTATTGAGGAACTGGAGATGTGTGCAAAAATCTAAGGGACAAGATTCAAGAAGGGGTTTACAAGTAGGGAAAGAGGAAGGAAGACGAGAACCAGAACTACTGTATCTCAAAAAGTGTTAACCCAGTTCGGATGCGACCGACACCGGATCTGCCAAAACAAAACTATGGAGGGGAAGGACTGGCGAGACATCTGGAACAAACTTGCCGGCAATCTTATGGATTGTCTTCCAGATCTGGGGAAGAAGAGTCAACTGTAATGGTGTATTTCCAACTCTAACGCTTAACCATACAGATGGGTCTACAGGCCACTGCACTCGCCTTCCGAAACTAAGTACCTGTACTGTATAAGAATCGGTCATCTATCAGTGCCTGTGTTTCAAACGGGCTGCACGATTACAGTGGACAGACCTGAACACAGTCTGAAATCCACTAGGAAATGCACTTCCATGTGCCATGGGAGGTAGAACAAAGAACAGAGTGTAGGGCAGCATTGAATACAGTGTAATGAAAAAGGAGGAGGGTTAGAGGAAGAGGCAGATCAGAGAGGTCAGAAACAGTAGTGTGGAGGGTGGAACGAATGACTGGGTGAAATCTGAATAGGAAATGCCTTTATGAGAAATATGACCAGTGCAGATAGCCTCCTTAGTGGCGATGATCATTTAAGGGCAACACTGTACCGACATGGCTGGGAATGCAGCAAAACTTAACCATCTTAAATCTGCTAGATAAGAAACAGCCAATGTTGGATTTTGACCACCACAGGCTGCAAAGGGTTAAACAACTCTAAAGCCATGAGGGCACCGCTTAGTCAATCACTCATGGTTTAATTTTGGATGTAAGGTGGCAAAGCAACTAAGCACAAGGGCAAGGAGAAACAACAGAAATAATGACACCAGAGAGCAGAGCTAAGAGTGAATACCCCAGGGTGAGAAGAGAAGCAGAAAGACATTATGAAAATGACATAGCAAATAAAGAAAAAGCCCAACCCAAATTGCTGCACAGACATCATAAGGAACAGTAATGAAACTGAGGATAGGGGCAGACAGGTTCACTAAAAATGACAAGGTGGCGTGGGAAATATTCTTTAAGATTTTCCAGGTAGACTTCACAATAGAGCAAGAAGTTCCTGAATTAAGAGGGAATATTCAACCAGGTACCACTGGAGAGGTAAGAAAGCATTTGCTTAAATTGGATGTGGCAAAGGCTGTTGGGCCCATATGAAATCTCACCATGAAAAAAAAAAAAAAAGGGCAGAAGCATTATGCCTATCACTCTCAATGGTGCATAACAAATTGCTGGAAACAGGGAAACTGCCTAAAAATTTAAAAAACTGTTAATGTAGTTGTGATATACAAGAAGGAAGAACAGACAGGAAGCACTGAACAACACGCAAGTGTCCCTAACTTGCATACTGTGCAAGATGATTGAGAAAATTGAGAGCAAAAATTTGAAAAACATCTGGAGAGAAAATTTTGTAACATATCACCAGCATTTATTCAGGAATGGCAAATCTTGTCTCACAGGCTTAATAGAATTCTATGATAAGGTGACAAAAATTAGGCAAGAGAAGGGTGGGCAGACTGCATATTTTTATTGCCAGAAACCCTTCGACACAATAGGAGATGCAGGTAGGAGTAAAAGGGAAGGTCTCCAATGGATAAGGGAGTACAGTACCTAAGTAACAAATGACTGAGTCATTGTGAGGGGTGGGGAGATCTCAAGAATGATAAGACGTCACTAGTCACTAGTCTTCCTTCTTCCCACAGGGTTGTCCTCGGAGCTATCCTTTTTCCGATACATATAAACGATCTTCCATAGGAAATAGACTCGTTCCTATCAGTTTGATAGAAAACTACCCGAGGACCACATAAAGAACATTGTGTGAGAAGCCTATTCTACACTTTCCAATTTCAGAATTGAACACATAAACAAAGGTTTTTGGTTTTGTGTCCGCCACGGAACACAAAAACAAGACTGGATTGTTGGAGCAAGTGCAGAGGTTGCACCACGGCAACTTAATGACCGGCTGCCAAACAACATAGGCCTCTCATGGGTGGTGGTGCCTGGGGTCAGACTAGCAAACGAATAGATGGAATAATCATATGATTGAGGGGTCGGAAGAAGGGTCAAGTAGTGTACATACTCTTCAATGAAACCCATCCCCCCATGGCCTTCTTCTGACTTGTACTAGACTGCACATCGTCCACATGCATTAAACTCATAGGCCAATAATGGAACAATGCCCTGCTCCTTAATGTCCGAGTTGCACTGTCCCGCTTACAGTCTTGTATCTCTTTATAAAATATCCCGATTTTCAGGACGATCACACGTCTTTCTTTCCCAATGTCACTCACTTGTTCCTAGTTAAGACTCCTTGGTGAATCCATATATCATGCATGTTAATAATATTCCACATAAATTAAGATAATTTATTTACCTGTGAGATCCATGATATAAACATAATAATCTATGTATAAGTGGTGATGATGAATTGATCTGTGATATTGACACTGCTATGATAAACAATGAAATCAGACATTGAAAAAGATCAAAGTGACCCAAATGTCACTTTTATAATAAAAAGTTGATTCAACTGACAAAGTTGCACCAATGCCATCATGTATGAACAACTTAATAACCCTATACCAAAATTAAATCACTTGGTAAAATATTACCAATTTAAAACATTGAAAAAACACACTTTTGTTAAAAAGAAACGTCAAAGTCCTTTAACATGAAAGTCCCAAAGGTCCTTTCCATAAAAAAAAAAAAAAATTCTTATCCGTGGAACATATCTTTACTAATCTTTTTCGATGAAAGTAATATGACAAAACTATATTATCTCTTATACAGTAGTATGAACTATTATAATTTTTCACTTTGAAAGATTTAAATGATCTTCCATTTGAATATATAATACCCAAACCAAATGAGCTTATCACAAAATGCATTGTACATTGTTAGCAATTTAATGAATTATTCTGTAACAAGTTTGTGAACATGATGATGTGTGCTGGCATTTAACCGGATGTTATGACCAGTCGCCATGGTGGGATTTGACCTGGTGTTATGACCAGTCGCCATAGTGGAATTTGACCTGGTGTTATGACCAATCGCCATGGTGGGATTTGACCGGGTGTTATGACCAGTCGCCATGGTGGGATTTGACCGGGTGTTATGACCAGTCGCCATGGTGGGATTTGACCTGGTGTTATGACCAGTCGCCATGGTGGGATTTGACCTGGTGTTATGACCAGTCGCCATGGTGGGATTTGACCTGGTGTTATGACCAGTCGCCGTGGTGGGATTTGACCTGGTGTTATGACCAGTCGCCGTGGTGGGATTTGACCTGGTGTTATGACCAGTCACCGTGGTGGGATTTGACCTGGTGTTATGACTAGTCGCCATGGTGGGATTTGACCTGGTGTTATGACCAGTCGCCATGGTGGGATTTGACCTGGTGTTATGACCAGTCGCCATGGTGGGATTTGAAATGCATTATAAATTTTAACTGCCTAGGTTTGAGCATAATTGCAAGTAAACATGTTATACTGTATTTTAAATACTGTACATGTGAAATCTGGTCATGATCAAAGGCAAATGTTTCTATAATGAAAAATTATGAAAAAAAAAAAAATATGCCATTTACAGACATCACAATACAGTACAGTATACCAAAGCCCAAATAAATTGCAACATACACACACACAAATACTGGTCCTTATCAAATAAATCACTCTTCCATTTTTTGGTTTTTCATTTAAAGTACATACATCAATAAAGCAAGGTAACCTGTAGGAAAGCAATGTTGGATATTAGTCACTCAAGTTTCAGACTATGATGTCTATAAAATGATTAGGTTTGTACTCCAAGTTCAAAATCCACCTATACTGTATTTCCAAATGTTTATGTAATATGACAACCTAATTCAATCACATGCTGTTTACTGCTTAAAAGTAATTTTTTGCCTTAAATTCATAAATGAACATTTATTCCATGTTTTATATCCATAGTCACCTTGTTTATATAAAACTCCTCTCCTGAAAGTGATTGATTAGCCATTTCATGTACTCTGGTTGATACCTGGTTGGAATCAACGCTGCACCGATACTCTTGGCATCACTCTGCACCGATCAATGAGTTACGATTGTCGTCTCACAACCAAAGGGTCTGAAGTTCAATTTCTGCACAGTAAATATGTACTGTACCTGGGACTTAGGTAACTTATGGCTTCATCTTGGAAAAGGTCAGTCGGTGACCGAGGGGAGACCTCGATAAGCTTACCAGGCTTCTGGTTCCCCAACAATGGAAAATCATGTACAGAGCAACAGTGAAATTTCTAATCAGTGGCAATTTACTTTATTCCTAAGGTTTATTTAAACCTACAGTGCTGTATTGTAAAATGTACATATTTACTTATAAAAGTAAAAATTATTAAAAAATTAGTAAATCTTCCTATGCATATATGGCTGGACAAAGTTAGTCAACATACTTTATGTATTTATGCATTGAACTTGCCATTGAAAAACTATGGATTGGCAAATCCATACAGTATTTAAATTTTGGAATATACTAACCCATTTGGAGGAAAGGTGTAAATTAATTACAGTATTGGAGTTTTATACACAAGTGTGTAAACAAATATAACCAGTAATTTAGCAGCCGCTAATAAGCACAATAATGGTGCTAATAAGCTTACTTTCACAATCATGTACTGTAGTGTGTTCTATTCACTCATTTGGATTCATTCAATTTTTACAGGTATTGACAACATAATAACAGTATTGCATATAAAAAAAGCAGATATGCGACGAATTGAAAAAATACAACCAAAGCCTTTCCTGAGACCAACGGATAGACTAAAATAGGAATGAACAGTTTAATATCTTGTGCCGTAAGGCAGCATGATAATGGACGACCAATTGTATTAGCTTGGAAAACTACACGAATCCTTCTGTTGTGACTGAATTAGAGTTCTTTAGCACCTAAGGTCCAACAGATACGAGGTCTTTACATTAGCTTTGTTACATCTTTATAACTAGTATTTATGTGACAATTTCCTTATCTATTATATCTATACTTCTGAAAATTTTAGTTTTCCCCTGTGAAGGTCTCATTCTTGATGGGCAATCTCCTGTAAAATCTTCTCCAGATATTAATGACGTTAAATATTAAAGACCCTAGAGGACCCACCCCAAACCTTTGCCTAAGAATTATACAAACTTGACTATCTTTGGAGAACAGCCACCACTTAACACAAAAATATTGGTTTACGAAAAGAGGACTGTCTCAGAAGTAGATAAATACAGACAGCCATAAATATGAAAAATCAGTGAAGTCAAGGAATGGGAAGGAGACGAAATGCACTTGGTAACAGTGCAAAAGTAACAGAAGGGAGACACAAGAGACAACCAAGTAGCAATGTAGAAAGTAGCCAGAGAAAGGAACCTTCACTGGGTTGCACCAATACTGTCTCAACTTCCTCCAGTAGCAGGACTCCCATGGGTTTTCAGATTAAAATATAATTAGAACCTGCTATGTCAATTGCTTTTTAAGGAATATGGCAAATAGTTGCTGTAATAGTGAAATAACAAGTCATAAAATCCAAAGAAAAAACTAGTTTCACAATAGTTGACTTACTGTGATATTATCAGTCTCAACCATCATTTCTCACTCTTAAGACATTAATAAAATATTTTTAGCTGGTCAAATTTATATACTGTATCGCATTTGAATGAGTAAATAAAAAAAGTAGCAATGGGAATGTTCAAGAATTATACAATTACAGTGGAACCTTGAATAACGAATTTAATCCGTTCCGGCACCGTGATCGTCATGTGAAACGGACGTCATACAAAACGAATGTCCCCATTGACAATAATGGAAATCAAATTAATCTATTCTACCACCAAAAAACATCAATATGATATTCAATGTTTTAAATAATGGAGCAGCCTACCTGACATACACTGAACAAACTTTTATGACATTTTTCTTTCTTCAAATTTGTTCAGTATTTTTTTCATTTGTCTTATAGCAAAAAGTTCATTCGGTGTTTTGCAGGTAGGCTGCTCCATGTTTCTTAAATAAAAAAAAAGGAAAAAAAAAAAAAAAAACAGTTGAACCAATTTGAAAAACGGACAAATGCCATAAAGGTTCATTCAGTGTTTGTCGGGTAAGCTGCTCCATTATGACAATCTTCTTTGTTTCAAATGCGTTCCATTTATTTTGGATTTTTCATTTACGTCTCAATAATGGAGCAGCCTACCTGCCAAACACTGAATGAACCTTTTTAACATTTGTTGTATTTCAAAACATTTCATTTCTTTTTTCTAAACAAAAATGTCATTGCTTTGCAACATCTCAGCAGTCACCCCTTTATATCCCAGCATCATTAGCATCTTTAAACAAAAACAACATAATTTATTTGCATCGTCGGAGGCATCCGAGAATGTGCGAGAAGCAGCGCGATCCCACCTTGTGGTCTTGTCGTCATTCAAACGAGCTGTTGCCATACAAGACGAATTGTTGGCGAACTGGGCAATCGTTACCCAAAATGCTCGCCATTTGAGGCGATCGTCACTCGAGGTTCTACTGTAGTATAATCATGTCAAAGAAATTTTAGAACAAAACTGGAATCATGCACACAGTAAGTATTTAGTCTGATACATATCAGACATCAGTGAAACCATAATTAAATTGCTCAATACAGTATATTAGATTTATACAAATTATTACATCTGCTGGTGGGTATATTTAACACCACAAGATGATGTATTATCATTACTAATACTGTCCAGGTATTATTAATCACTGAATTATTATTTATTAAAATACCACAGATTTTCATGCAAAGTTTTAGAAAACAACCAAATGTGTTCTCCAAGGATGCAGCTCATACACAGTGATAGAGGTGCATTTTGGGAGTCTCTTGGAATCCACCATGACACAAATACCCGCACCACTTTCAACCTTGTTGATCTTCTGTTCTGTTTTGTTATATTCAAAGTCACTATCTCAGCACTGATGACTGTCTCCTAGTTCATAAATATTAATGAGTATTTTGGTGGTAACAATAGTGAGGTCAGCAATGCCGGGTTAGGGAATATAAGGACACAAGATTTTGTTCAACGAAAGCAGGCCATCAGCGGTTGTCTAGTGAATTTACAAGTTGCCAAATATTTGCTGATAACTCCTCGTAAGTCAAGAAAAGGTAGTATGATGTGCAAAGCACCTCCCCAGGTATACGAGAATAAATGAACATGAATACAGTGTGAGTATGTGTGTGTGTTATTGTATTTAGTATATATATATATACATATAATATAATTCTGGTCCAAAAAGAGTAAAATCTGAATTTTCCACTAAATTACATCTCATTCATAGCAAATCTCATAAAATCATCTATCACACTGTATTACAAAGATGAAAACTTATATGTCAATCCTGGGTCGGTAGCAGAGCTTGAGAGGAGGACTACGAAACCGCCAGCGAGTTACCTGGACAAACTTAAGCGTGTGATCCTTCCCCAACATCTCGTCATTACACATGATGTCAATCTGAAAAAAAAAAAAAATAGCGTTGAATGTAATGAAATGCCATTTTCTGGCCAAGTCCCAGAGGCTCCCCAGAGCTATCTAGGCTGATGTGCTAATGTCAGACTTTGCGTAGTTGGGGTCAAAGCTCCCCCTTCCACCCTCCCAGGGAAGGGGGTGCTGACGCTTACCTTTCTGGGTGCCTAACCTGGTCGATGGCGCTTCCAACCACATGGGGGTTTCTATAGGCCATTGCTCCTCGTGCCTCTGTGAGAGGGCCAGGTTCTGGCTCGTGGTTCCCAGTAGGCCCACAAAACTCCATACACATGACTGATGCCAACGTCTGACATTAGCATATCAGCCTGGATAGCTCTAGGGAGCCGACGGGGCTCCCCCCAGAAAAAGAGAACAAGAAAAAACAGCCTTGAATGTAATGCAATGCCTCTTTGTGACGGGTGCAAACTAAATTCTATATTTTTTCTTTAATCCCTACACTGTGCATCAGTTTTTGACAAAAACTTCAAAGTGCAATTGTTAAGGACATATTTTTGTTGTTTTCATAAATGTTCAGGTAAAGTTAAGGTCAAAATGTTTCCAAACTAAACTATTCTCATTTCAAAACACTAAGAGTAATGAAAACATTAAAAAAACATTAAAATATAGCCTAATTAAGAAAAATGGACAACTCTCAAAACGACATTTATTGGCCGGCGCAGTTGAGGAGTTAAACAAATTAGTTTACATTAACACACATGATGATAATTAATAATAATTCATTGTGTTGGGGGACAGGCAGCCAGTGTATATATATATACACATTAAACATTTTTCGAGATCCTCCCCCCCTTCCCCATGAGGTCGAATTAATTACTGACCTGCTCCAGGATGCAACCCCACAACAAGCTAACTCCTGGGTACTTATTTACTGCTAGGTGAACAGGGCAGTAGATGATGAAACGCCTCAACCATTTCTGTTCCACCCGGGATTCGATCCCAGGATGCCCGATTGTGAGTCGAGAATGAACCTGACTGTATTACCAGGACCCCGGGATTATTTTTAATATTTGTTATTGTTGTTCTCTCGGTACACTGTATTATAGTGAGCAGTTATGTTTAAGTGAATTGAACTTTATCTTCCTCCTTTTTCCCCTTCCCCAACTAGGTGGTGTAACCATTTAATAAGCTCCTTGTTGACCAGACCACACACTAGAAGGTGAAGGGACGACGACATTTTGGTTCGTCCTGGACCATTCTCAAGTCGATTCATTCTCAATCGACTTGAGAATGGTCCTGGACGGACCGAAACGTCGTCGTCTCTTCACCTTCTAGTGTGTGGTCTGGTCAACATACTTTATCCACGTTATTGTGACTCATCGCTTGAATAAGCTCCTTGTCAGTGTGAGCAGAGTTCAACAAGATCCTAACAAGATCCCAACAAGAAGGTTGTGTCATGTCCTGGAAGGACCCAGGAACAAGCTCACACAATGACAGAAGGACTGCTCAGAAAGGACCACAGTTTTTCCATATTGTTCAACACTTTAGGTGCAACTTCTTCCCCCCCCCCCCTGCATTCTACCCTTTGGGGAAAGCAAACATTCCAGGGGTACTGTACCATATCTAAAGTAAAGTAAAACTGGCATCTTTTACAGCTTCCATCATAAAAGAATATGAGAGGGCAAGGAGGTTTCAGGGATGTAGGGCCTAGTAAGACTTGCATCAAATATTAAGGGCACAATTCTGCAGAGGATGCAATATGATTGCAACCCCTAGTACAGCATCTTTTTTACATGAAGGTGCATTGCTAGCAATTTCATAATCACATACAACTTCCTTAGTATCTTTTCTAAATAAGATTTCCATGTAATTCCACACAATTAGTGTCCATCTGTTTAGGATATTCTAAAAACTAGAAATCCAAAACAAGCCTTAAAAGAACACACAGAAAACATTCAATTAATGAATTACTGTACAATGTACAATAATAATCACACTCATTCAGCGCCGCTCCTGTGCCAGGTAAGTTCACTATGGGCTCACCATAGCCCGTGCTACTTGAAACTTGTTCCGAGTAGCTGAATCTATAACAACAACAACAACAACAATAATAATGATGCACAGAAAATGTTATACTACAGTGCATTGGATTAAACTTGTAATCTTCCTTACCTCTCTATACTTTTGTGGACCCTCAAGTACTTTAAGTGCCAGGAACTTTTTAAGGTGAGTAATAGTAGCTTGCGCAGAGCACCGTATAAATCTTCGTTTAAGAGGAGCCAATGTGGGATATTTACATTCCAAACAAATGTTAACCTGAAAATGATAAGTACACTTAGCATGGGATGACTTGTGAAATCAAATAGTGTCGATGCAGTAATTAATGTGGGTACCCTATAGCACACAATTTAAAATAAATTATGAACTTACCAGGAAGCTACAGAGCTACCAAATAATATAGTATATTGTACAAAGGGTAATAATATTTTACATTTCTAGTGATATCCACAAATAAATATAGGTTTGGGTGTAGATATAAAAAAAAATGCATCTGAGCAAGTCACTTGTTGCTTCACTCAGACACTGTCCCATTCCAGCAAAGCCAGTGTGACTTCATCTTCGCCACGGCCATAATTGAAGAAAGGAAGACACTGGAGAATTCCCAATCCAGCCCTGAATGGCCTCCAGAAAGTTCATTCATCTGCACTCAAAATAATTCTTCAAAGCAGTATTTAGTGATGGAAAAACTGCTTAGTACTATGATGCTCTGCAGACTAATAGTTGTCAGCCAGGCCACTATGCCAAATCCACCACCAGGAGTAACCAAATGGCTAGCTTAAAGAGGGGCTTTTCATCTAGAATTTAAATCTAATTTTTTGAGTGAACCGCTTGCGTGCTTTCTTTCGGGAAGACTTCCAATGACCATAGTCAAAGTGAGAATAGAAAAGAACAAGATACAGTAGTACAGAGCATCTTCAGTAAACCAGTTGTCGTTATGCAAGATACTCAGAATGACTGGCTAACATCCATGTGCTTATGATCCAATACTGACAGGTTGTATTTACTCAAGGTGAGCACCACAAGCACAACACCCTATACCTTATACCTTGATGGGGGTTCTGGGAGTTCTTATACTCCCCAAGCTTGGCCCGGCTTGACTTGTGTGAGCTTGGTCCAACAGGCTGTTGCTTGGAGCCTACAGGTCCATGTATCCACTACAGCCCAGTTGTTTTCTTAAAGAAAACTATCCACCAGTTTTCTCTTGAAGACATCCACTTTTGTTCCAGCAATATTTCTTATACTCGCTGGGAGGATGTTAAACAACTGTGTCGTCTTCAAAAGCTCAGTGTGTTGTTTTGGCCTGTATTCTCTTCATGTGCTGCTTCTAGCTGTACCTCATAAATAATGAAGACTGCACAGTTTGGAAATTGGTATCCTCAGTCACTTCTCTCACAAATGAGAGAAGTGACTGAGGATATGGAATACTGGCAGAAAATGTAAAAAGTAGCTGGGAAGTGTTGGAGTACTGAAGATATATTTGGAAAGTGGCTGTGGGATGTATAGTACTGGCAATGAATGTAATTACCTAAATATAGTTACAGGATGAGAGCTAGGCTCGTGGTGTCCCGTCTTTCCAGTACTCTTTGTCGTATGACACTTTGAAACTATTGACGGTTTTGTGTGAAGTGGATCTTAACGATCTCTTTGATGCCAAATTACACCTGGAAAGGCTTTAGATTTTAAGTGAGTCCACCTTGTGTACATTTTGGGATGGATTTAATCTTTTCCAGTACTTCCCTGGCATCAGTAAGACCCAGTGGGAACAGTTTAAAATGTTCTCCACTGCACTGCACAGAATATCAACTTGTGCAACTACTAAAGATCTTAATTTAGGGAGAAGCTCAAAATAATGCTCAAAAAAGTTCTTTACATAAAATACTTACAAGCCAGAATTATTTAACTTACTTAGTTTTCACAATTTCTAACCAACATTTTTAACCTATCAATTCAAAGTCAGGGAGAGCTGGTACAACTAAAAATTTACAATTACAATTATGTACAATTAACAGTTGTAGTACAATTAACCTTAAACTGCTAAGCTAGTTAAAAGTGCTACATCCAGGTGCATATGGAGAAAAGCATTGAAAACCCACAGGGATCACGCACATTTGGGGACTTTCAGATGGGAGGAAATGGTAGACAGCGCGTTTAGCAGTATAAGGGTTAACAACATGACCATAACTGACCTGTTCATCTAGTCTGTGGTAGTCAGTATCATTAACTGCCTTGTCATCCTGTTGAAGTTCCTCCTCATTAGCCTGGGGAAGATCTTTTGGACAAACCTCCCCTCTTGCTCTGTAAAACTCTCGCTCTCTTTTTAACTCATCTGAAACATAAATATATGTAACTTTTTATCTCATAGGCCTAAAATAGCTTCTCTCTCTCTCTCTCAAATCCTGGGTCCAACCACTTGGGCTGGACAGTAAAGTGACTGTCTCGCTTCAAGCAGGTCAGAGTTCAATCCCTGACCATCCAAGTGGTTGGACACCATTCTTTCCCTCCCCCCCCCCATCCCATCCCAAATCCTTATCCTGACCTCTTCCCAAATGCTATATAATCATAATAGCTTGGCGATTTCCCTGATAATAACGTCCCCCTCAATTCCTGGGTAATAATCAACAAAAGTAGACTAATAGAAATACGAGGCAATAAGACCTAGGAAGTTAGAAGGCATGTACCCAACTCTCCATCACACTAGAAAAGCGAGCAGCAAAAGGCTAATGCCAAGAACCGCAACAACTGGCCCCCCGAGGAGAGGACCACCTCAGGTGTATAGCTTTAGGGAGCCACAAGGGTGCCCCCCCCCCACCAGATATCAACAAAGATAACAACAAAAAAACAGATATCAACAAAGAAATTTTGAAATTGCAAATATAAATTACAAAAAGGATCTGGAAATTATGATTGTTATGTTACTAGTTATCAATGCATAGAATTAAATATTCAAGGCCCAATAGAGTAAAAGAATTCATATCTAGAAACATTAGTAATAAAAGCCCTTATGTTACGATTCTGTTTTTTCTTTTCCTTGAGAGACTCAATTAGATTATGCATTGCAGTTCAGTTTTAGGCACTTTACTATAGAATGAATGCAAATTATCTTGAAAGTATACAAAGATAATAACTGAGCTGAACCTGGATACTGTATTAGGAACCTGCTCTTATGATTAAACATTCATTAACATTTCCTAAAAAGCCTAAAATAAAGGGGGTTCATTATTCTAATAAATTAATTAAAAAATTGTGATATGAACAGATTCTTAACCTATCAACCCAAATGAAAACATGAAACAATAGGATCACAATAGGTAAGTTTAAAATTAACAAATAAGTAGTACTGGTACAGAAATACTGTAGTGTTGCAAATCTATGGAACACTTAAGGAAACACCATAGTAAACTTGGTGGAAAGACTGGACAAGTTCGTGAGTGAGAGTGGTAGAATACTGTTTATTGTTAGAAGCTGCCTCACATGGGTCAATAAACATTCTGTGGATCAATACATTTTCTAACAAACTTGTGTTACCAACAGATAAACACAATAATACTCCTGTAAACATACAATATGTACAAAAATACAAACCAGATATAGGCTCATATAAAAGATGAACAACTTGTCACCATCACAAATGTTTACACAGTCACAAAGCTGAAGCCAGAAGCAAAAGCATTAACTACTAAGCAACACACACAAAATCACACAATTAAGATAGCACACAAATTTTTTGATATAATGACAAAACAAGTGAACTACTGTAGTTTCTAGACAACATAATACAGCGTACACTTAATATACATACTATCTTGGCATTTCTATCTTGGCACTAACCTTCCTGTAGCATGGGTACAAGCTTGCACACAATATCTTGCATAGTTCGGTCAAATGAAATGTAATTTAGTGGGTGCGACTGATGAATGACAATGTCGCACGTGGGACAGGTATTGCGCTCCTCTAGGTGTTTGACGAGACATGATTTGCAAACTGTGAAGAAAAAACCAGCGTTGAATGTAATGAAATGCCATTTTCTGGGTGAGGGGGCTCCCCCCCCCCAGAAAATAACAACAATCTATACCCCAATATTTTGAAATTAGATAATCATGCAAGAAATAAGGTATGAATCACCACATCAATACACTAACATCACAATAGTACAAAGGACAATTAAATACATTGCAGGCATACCCCAATTAGAGTGTACAGCACAGATTTGTTATATTACATTGAAAAGCTGTTCTCATAAATTAAAACAAAATTACAATTCTGTACGATATAGTAAAGATAATTTCTATATTTTTCTCAAACTCACTCCCTCGTAAACTCTTAGCCAATGACCAATAAAAATTGGTAAAGCATATTGCATTATAAATTCTTTGGCCCCAAATGCTGCATATAATTAGTGGCCATATAAAAAATATTTCAATATTACACATGGTAGATAAACTTACTTTTGTACTTTAGAAGACCACATTCATCCTTGTTAACTTTATGATCTGACTCAGAAATTTGAGCCAAACTACTCTTGTTGGCAATATTTTTTACTTAAATAATTTAATACAGCAATAAATCAAGTGTTAAATGAAACAAAATGCTGATTTATACATGACCCTCAGTAGCTCCCCCAAGTAAAACATATGGTACTGTCAAACATTAGTGAATTGCATCGGGCCTTTGAGACTCGCCATTGCCTTCTGGAACCCAGAATCAGAATCTGGCTCACTCCACAAGGCAAGACCCTCAGGATCAGATTTCAACCTAAAAATCATGGAAAACCAACTAGGGAGAATAGATGCAACAAAGAACATAGTGACTGCTTGAAGGAAATTTGGCACTCCATGGTAAACAAGGCAAATGTTTGTTACAACAGGATATACTGTATATCCTAACAATGTATAAACTGTATATACTACCAGACAGGATATACTATATATCCTAACAATGGCCTATTCGTTATTTGTTTTGGATGCGGAATATAATTTCCATTTGCAATGCTATTTAGAGATTCATTTATGATAGTGCCTTAGTTCTCAATGTTGAATCAAAGGGGTAGGCACTGACAGACAGGAAGGAGACCTTAAGAGAATATAGAGCTGCTCTAGAAAATCAGTTGATGGTGAAAAGTTTTCTATATTTAGTAAATATTTACTAAAGTAGTTGATTATGAGGAAAATCAAGCCTTCTCCAGCTAACAACCGGTCAAGGCCAAAGGATTAATTTTTCAGGCAGAGTTGTGTATATGGATGTCGCTTTGTAGCTGAATTTTGTTTTCAAAACATTAATAAATTTTATATATGTATGTGCCAAACAATGATGGGCCCCGACCGCTATCAGGACAGCACCCCAACGGAAAATGCTGGTTTTTCTGGAAAGGAAAAAAGAATTAGCAGAACACAATAGTGGACATGGTTTACCAGCCGAAAAAGACAAAGGAGAGGGCCTGGGGTAGAAGAATATATGTTGTTCACCAACTACCCATGTACAACGCATGCTGGTCAAGATCATAAACATCCATTAAGTAACAAAAGGACAATATCCTGTTGAACCTCAAAAGCCCTAAGGCTCAGGCATTAGTTGTGGACATACTGGTAAAGAAAGGCATTAAAGCAAGAAATTTCTGCACATCAATGAAGGATTTAACAGCCAGCTGGCTGAACCAATTCCCTTGTGGATGACCTGGAAGAGGCAAGCCTTGGAATATGTGGTATCAGACACAGAATGGACAAACAAAGCCACAAACCTAACAATGCAATTAAAGAATTAATAACACCACACAATAGCCACAAGGTGGAGCATATGATGCACCCCCCTCCCCCCCCCCCCAAGCTGGACAAACCAAGTGTCAATGACTAAGGACCCTCCAGAAGCATAAGTCTCATTGTTAGACAAAATCAAAGGAAAAGTTTTCAAGCAAAGGAGACTATTACCAGGCCCATAGGAATAAAAATCATGCTTCCAGCATGGAGCTTCCCAAACCGAAAATGTTGAAGCAAGGCCTGGGAGAAAAGCATTATTCTGGAATTGGCTTCCAGATGGCAAGGGTGAATCTTCGAGGCCTGTTGCATTTGGTTAAGGTTGACAATACTAGTGCTTATGCTCAGGGAGCTACTAAGGTGCTCTTCCAGAACAATTCATAAACATTCTTGAAAAACAGTAGGTAACACTAAACAGTACGTAAACATTATTAGAAAGCCTGTAACTTCCTACGGTCACATTCCTCAGACCACCACCTTACTCATAAGTAATGATTTTTCTTGACAGCAGGCATCTTTCTACTCATAAATGAAGACGTATGCAAATAAAAATTAATGAAAATCCCGAGAGTATCAAGGTTTTCAGAAGCAGCACAGAGGAAAATACATATGGCCAGGACAGGCTGCACTCTTTGCTATGACTTAACCAGCCACAGGAAAAGACCACACTGTTTGGTAGGAATGAGTCAGCCACAGAAAAAAGGTTACATTTTACTATCTGCATTGTAGGATTTTAAATACAATCTAAGAATAGTAAATAATTTATAAAAAAAAAAGTAAATAGAGTTGCACGTTGTTTTTTGTGGTCTGCGGTTTGAGGTTCTGATGGTCCAGGTGAATGAAATGAAACAATGTGAACTTTTTTTTTAATATATACTACTCCGGGCAAAAGAATAGTAAAAATTTTAAAATATGGTTGGTGAGTGCTAAAGATGGAGACTTAGTCATGATTTTCCATACATGCTGAGAACTTATGATCATTGATGTCCCTCTTCCAGATTTTGTTCTATTTTTTTCTCCAAGAGCAAAATTCTTACAGGCACCTGTTATACTGAACTCGAGATTTCTTAGGTTACGTTGCCCTAATATCCATTATTTAATGAACCATATTAAATTTACACCTTTTTTGGAGGACTTGTAAGCTATACGAAGTGGGAGTCCGACAGTCCACGGCGGCTTAGCCCATTTACAATGCCATGAAAAAGTATATTAACTCTATACTATTGTAACAATAATGTAACATTGAATTAAACTTTCCTAAACTTACAAGTGTGAAGACATTCTGTGACTGTAGTGGCATCAACCAGGTAGCCAGAGCAAATAGCACACACAATGTGCTCATTTAAAGTCCTTAGCTTGATTCTTCTCTCCATTCCCTTATTGCCTCTCACAAGGAATGTGTGTTGCTGAAAAAATACATCACATATTATGCATTTATAAAGTTGAAAATTTAATTTCATACAGAGAAGCTAAATACAGCAACCTCTTGCTGTTCATGGGGAAATAAATCTGTAAGACACGCAAGAATGGCAAAACTGTGTATTAGCAGTTGCATTCTGGCATTTATATAATTACTATATATACTAATTAATTAATGCAATTAATATACTGTATACTAACACTGTTATATAATTACTGTATATAACACAGCAATTACTGTATAGCTGCATTTGGATATCTTCATCCCTTCATTCTACCCTTTCCTCCTCTTCTCCCACTCTTCACCCCATCTTCCCCTTGAACCCCACCCTACACCCCATTCCCCTGATCCCTCTCCTTTGTCCTTTCCCTCGTCCTCCAACTGCTCCCGTTCTCTCCATAAATGTATTATTAAGAATCTGCCCAAAGCAGATACTTAATCTACTTTGGTAAGATTAAGCGCTGTGCACTGTGTGTGCTAGTGGCTTTACAAGAATGTAAGAACTCTTGTATACATCAATACGAAACACTGAAACAATTGTATGGGTCTCTCAATAAATATATTATGAGCACTAAAAAGTCCAGGGGAAAATCACACCATATATTTCACACTTGATTGCATGAAAATCACATGGGGAGTGTCAATAAATGTTATATTGCTTGAAACATTGAACTTAGGCTAACCCTCCCAACCAGCCTATGTCCTCCCTGTGCCCCAGACCATTTCCCTTGTAAAGTTGAGTGAGGCTGGTGCCAAGTGACTGGCCTCCATCTTTGGACAGACATTCTCTCTTTTAGTATAGAACAGAGTGGGGGGGGGGGTGCCTTGTGGTGCCCGGAATAGTTTGTCTCTTCCCCACAACACCCACCCCTCTACTTTCTGACTCTCTCCACGTGGCCCTCTACATTTCCACCCCTTCCCTTTCCTCTCCCCTCCCATCTCCCTTATTTCCCCCTTCCCCCAATTCCCTATCCTCTCCCACTCCCATCTCTTCCCTGTCTTGCTTCCAACCTTGAACAGACAGATATTTTAATTTATATACAGTAAATACTGTACATACATAGAGGTGAACCTGGCAGTGCCTGGGTCTAAGCCTGCCTCTTCTCCCACCTGGCAGAAGATTCTCCTACTCTGCTCTCCCTTCTATTTTTTCACTCTCCTCCCCTCTCCCCTTCTCTCCCCCCATTTCACCACCCTCCTCTTCCTCAATTTCACCCCCCCCCTCTCTCCCCTCCCTTACCCTCATCCTTCCCTCCCACCTTTTCCATGCATTTTACCCCTTCTTTCCCGATTTCATCCCCCTCCCTTCATCATCATCCACCTTGTCCTGTTTTTCCCGTCTTCTTTCCCCCATACCCTCATCACTGTAACCATCTTCCCTACTCACTATTTTCATCACTAACCCAAATAAAATCAGTTCATCATTTTCTAGTAGTGAAAATGTGCGGTAAACTCAATGGAAAACACGTATAGCATTTCATTTCAGACTTCATGAAAATAACACAGGGTTGGGTTACAGGCTGATATTTCTTAGAGCATTTAACTGAATCCTACCACTATCAGCCTATATCCGTCCCATACCCCAGACCATTATCCCTGCGACTTTTGGTGAGACTAGCCCAAGCATTTGGCCTTTAACTTTGAACAGACATTCTCCTTTATATAATTAGTAATACGGCAAGGTATAGATTGAGCAGTACAGTACGTATCTCTCTACTTGAGGTTCCGCAAGAGAATATCTAGTAGTGATAAATATGCTAATTCTATTCATATGCAAATACAACTTTGAGTCATTTTTATATTTAATTATTCTAATTTAACCAATATCAAGAGCAAAGACGGTAATCGTCTCTTTTCAGTTGACAATGAAATCTGTGTGTTTATCTAACATATGACCCAGAGTTATTTCAAGGGTACAAAGGTTGAGAATCACACCATTAGAGTGAGTTCCACTTGTTGAGATCCTATATTTGCATGATGTTTGCACCAATTTAGTTAGACTCTGGGAATAAAAAAAAAAAAAAGAGAGATTACATATTTCTGGTGTGATGTTCGTGGGTTTTATTATACTGTATGTTAGGTTTATTGAGGTTCCCCTAGGCCTGACCTTCCCCAAGATGCAACCCATACCAGTTGCCTAACTCCCTATCTATTTATTGCTAGGTAAACGGAGGCATCAGGTGAAATGAAGTATGCCCAAACATCTCCATCCTGCCAATAGAAATTGTACTCAGAATAGAATTGAATAACTAATTTTTGCTCGGTGATGATGAGTTTGAGCCCCATGCACAGATACTGTAAGTTAAATACGGATAAATGAACCCTCACATCCTTAGAGGAGATAACAAACAAAATAAATAAATAAATAAATATAAATAAATAAATATAAATAAATAAATATAAATAAATAAATACATAAATAAATAAATAAAGGAATATGAGCACTACATACAAGATTCTGATGGGAATAGACAATGTGAACAAAGGAAGCCTATTTAAATTAAAATGAGGTATGACAAGGGGACATCAGTGGAAGCTGGAGATGCAATAAAGTCAAAGACAATTCTCATACCCTAAACAGGTAGTCAACACGTGGAATAAGTTGAAAGAGATTGTCAAAGTACACTTCATCCATTACTTAAAGGGTAAATACGATGGAAATTTTAATGTTGAGACAGGTAATTAGCATGCCTGATATAAATGGTCTAATCCAACTTTAGAACCCCCCGCCCCGCCCCCTCTCCTCAATACCATGCTTCTCTACTTTTCTAATCAATCTTTAAGATGGTACAGTATTAAAGGTTTGCTAAAGTCAAGATATATAATCTCACAATCTTTTCCATTAACAATTAGTAAACAGAAAAGTTATAAGTACCTCAAAAAGCTTGCACCATCTGCTGAGGTAAATGTGGGCAGATGTAAGCCTTGTTAGCAAAACTATTCATATATTGTTTATCACCTATAATTGCATGCAAATCCTACGAACTTACAAACTATCATTAATGGTTTCTCAAAGTCAAGGCAGGAATCCTGTTAGGCTTATCATGGCCGGGGGGGAGGGTGACCGTGATAAGTGCACTATCACTGATAGACTGTGGCCTATCCCCCTCCCATAGCATAAGCCCCAGGATGCAGCCCACGATAGTTATCTATTTCCATAGTATATCTATTTCCTGCTAGTTGAACCGAGGTATCAAGTGAAAGAAAAGAGCCCAAGTGATTCTGCAGTGGCAATTTAGCCTGGAACCTTTCACCCGAGACTCAACTGCACTTACCACTACACCAAAGGATCCTGCTCAAAAGATCACCAGGAACCGTATATGGTCAAATATGACACATTAAGCAAAATCCTAGCCTAACATCCTGAAATTTACCCCAAATTTTTCACACTGTAAGCTTGTAAGTGCCTTATTACTTAATCTATGATTAAGTCACAGTAACATAAGCCTACCTACAGTACTGTAATTAAGCTCAACTTAAAACTTTATTACAATTGAGGCAGATGAAAGCTGCATGTAACTAGTTAACCATAAACATATATTATTTATGTTAAACAGCTAGACACCTGCTTGAAACGGTGCATGTGTATGTGTCATAGTGGCTTTGCACGAATGTAAGAACACTCATGTATTCTCATGAACATGATGCATCTTCTGGTGTATAAATAAATAAACATTGAGGTTGCTCCTGTGCCCATTGAGACAAATATAAGATCTCTGCCACACCTCCCAAATGATAGGGGGGTATAATATACCTGAATTGACCTAAACTATAATTCTGCTCATTCTCACCAAAAGTCACCTTTTCTTTGTCTTTCTTGGTCAACTCTTATATCCAAAAGCAGCGATACAAAGCAAAGGGAAAACTATAGTAAGAAAGAGCTAGGAGCGGGGCGACTCGTCCAAACACCACCACAACACGCTAGATACGTCCTCGCCCTCGGATATAACACCTGCCAAATCGCTTTAGAAATCGTCTTCAGCGGCTTAAAAGTCGCCTCCTTAGCTTTTAAAAGCACTAGGGAAAAAGTACATGCTGCTACTGCGACGACCCCGTGACTGACCCCGGCAGCTGTTGTGACCTCGACGGCCCTTTGTCAACAAACAACCACGATGCTTACTTGTTTTTTAGAGGGACCCTACCTCCAATAACTTCAAGTTTATTGAGATAATTGTATTATTATTAACTTTATCATTATATATATATATATATATATATATATATATATATATATATATATATATATATATATATATATATATATACTGTGTATACTAATCTCTGTATAAGTATACATATTCATATAAATATACATATAAGTATCTGTATTCACTTTTTAGGTACATTAAAGTTAAAACAGAATGTCATAATGGGGGTAGAAAGAGCCTAAGCTACTCTAATCCTATCAGATGTATTTTTTTTTCTTGTCTCAATAAACATACTTTAACATGAACTTGAAATGTTATAAGTATACACAGTATACAGAGATAAGTGTATATAATAGCATTATATATATAATGCTATTAATAGTTAAATTCTTCAATTTCTATCCCTAGGCCTGGTCGCCGACCGGGCCGCGGGGACACTAAGCCCCGGAAGCACCTCAAGGTAACCTATCTACTTGTATCCCTAGCTAATCTATCCCTATCTCACATATAGTATCTGAGCATGGGGATTCAATCACTGCAAATTACTTGAAGCCTATCATCACTCAGCAAAAATCTGCTATCAGAGCTATAACTTCTCTGTATATTATAACTCTGTATAATATAGAGTATACTATACTATAACTCTGTCTTCAGACAACACACAGCCCCTCAGTTTAAGTGCCTTAACAGGCTAAATATACACTCCACACACATTCTCTTGTGCTGTTTACATGTACAAAAACCTTTTTCCAAAATGCTAATCCTGATCTGAAACTCTCCTTTGATAGGTATAATAAAACCCATGAGCACCACGTCAAAAATAAATATCTCTTTGATATACAGTCAAAATTAAATCTGTGCAAATACTCCATGCAAATAAAAGGACCCAATCTATGGAACTTATTCCTAATGAATAAAACAAATTGTCCATATGTATTGTCCATATATGTATATGGATATGTATAATTTGGTATATTTCCATATACATCTGTATATGATATATGAGAGCTGAAACAGAAAGCCATAAGGTAGATCGGAGTGCTGAACACTCCAATAAGGAGGCGGAGCTTCCACTAAATACCTTCCTGTGATTGGCTGTTGCAGGGAATGCCAACACACTTTCTATAATGAAATGCAAACTAAAAAAAATGCGTCTTTTTGCACATCAACCTCTTTGTTTTGTACCTGACAGAAATTTCCATCTAACTGGATACTTTAGTCCAATAAGATTCAGATTCAGATTCAGATGTTTATTCAGGTAAGGTATATACATACAAGTGATGTTACATTAATGGATTGATATATAGATAGAGCTAGTACATACAATGCCTAAAGCCACTATTACGCAATGCGTTTCGGGCAAAGGACGAAGCATCATTTCATAGAAGTTATTTGCTTCAGGCAACCCCCACTAATGACGTCACAAGTTAGGTAGCCAGGCCATTTTTCTGTAACACCTGTTATATCCTGCAATATTTAATTACTACGTTATTAATACTATTAAATAATTAACACTTCACTTTTTAGGTAAATGAAAGTAAAAACAGAATGTCATAAGCAGAGCTGGTGTTCTGAATAAAGATGATTTATTAAGCGAGTGGAGCCTTCAGCTGAGCCCTTCCTGTGATTGGCTGTTGTGAATGTCAACAAAGAATATCTACCAATGATATGCCAGCAGGGGAATTCTTACTTCACCGCAACACCCCGCCTTATGGGCTTCTGTTTGGCTATTTGTAGTACATGGGCGACGAAATAGATGGCGTTAGCTGTATTTTGAAGGGTGGCGTGTTAATAGTGTAATTTGATGTCAACAGATGGCATAAGCTGTATCTTGTAGCTACAGTTGACCTAAGACGACGCGGCCAGGGTTAACACCACAAACTTGACCGAACGCACAAAACACTACTCTGTGACCAGTTTTTGGGTAGTCTCCTATTACATTTACTATGTGATAGTTATACTTATATATAATGATATGTATTAAGGGTAAACGCCTAACATGTAATATTAATTAATAAAGTCAGAAGCCACACGCCAGTCTCCACATGTCTTATGTGTTAAAGTATTTGTGTTAAATGTGTTTGCTACAAATTACCTACTTAATATTATCTGTTAGATTAAGGACCTGCCCGAAACGCTATGCGTGTTAGTGGCTTTACAAGAATGTAAAAACATCAATGCTATGTACTCTCATAAACCCAATGTATCTTCTTGTATATAAATAAATAAATATGTATTTTGGTCGCGCTTGTACTTGTGCGCTAACTGGCATTCACAACTGACCTCGCCTTTCAAGGACTAGAGCAAGGACCTTTCATCCCGTAACTAAAATTAGGTAATTACACACACATGACGTGGCGTTCCGGCCAACTGCTCGAGTTGCCGATATCTTATTAAGCCAACCCAGACCCGTACTGCTGTGATATGGCGGGCTTATATTTCTGTCATGACCAAAGCAAAAACGACAATGTTTCACTTCGTTCTGGACCACTATCATGTGGTGGTTCACGACGGACTGAAACATCGTCGTTTTTCCATCTTCTGATGTGTGGTTTGGTCATCATATTTTCAGCCACGTTATTGTGACTCATCGTCAACTTCTATTTCTTTCCACCTGTTCCTGTTTCTGACTCCAGGCTGCTCGTAATTTGGTTGATGGGAAACTGCAAGGCTCCTGGTGGATATTAGAAGTTCGTGAAACATCTGACAGCAAAAAGGTTTCAATGATAAGTGGGTTTGCTGGAGATTATAATTTGTAGTACGTAGAATTTCTTGGAAACATATATTGCTGTAATTAGTACATGTGGGATTACTGGGAACCTTTGTTTGCAATAGAATTTCCTGGAATGTGGTGTAGCTGCGACATTATCGCTAATATGTCTAGTTGTCAATACGCTGTCTAGTTCCTTTTTTTTTTAATTAAGACTAGGGGTTTATTATTAGGGATGGGGATGATATCTAAGAAAGCTGCAAGCTAAGGCTCCGTTATCCTACTCCAGCTCATCTGTAGCTTGACCCTAAATACTTGTTGTTTGACCAGTTTCTTGTTAGATTTCATTAGGAATCAACTTTTTGAATGCAAAGTTATTATAATATTAGTTATTGGATGAAGTTGGAGCTATTAGGTGAACTGTTAGGTTAACAGGAGCATCCTCCAAAGGATACCTGATCAACCAGGCTGTGACTCATACGTCAGGCTGCGAGCAGCCGCGTCCAACAGCCTGGTTGATCAGTCCGGCAACCAGGAGGCCTGGTCGACGACCGGGCCGCGGGGACGCTAAGCCCCGGAAGCACCTCAAGGTAACCTCAAGGTATTAGAGTGAAAGAAACTGCTCATTAGTTTCTGCCTCGGCCAAGGATCGAACCCAGGCCCTTAGGACTACGAACCCAGAGCGCTGTTCACTGTGTGTGTGTATTTACTATTTGTGTTTGCAGAATCGAGCTGTAGCGAGTTAATCGTTAATCGAGCGAGTTACTCGCTCCATTATCTCATTATCTTAATAGCATAGCTAATTAGCACTAATTACAGAAGCTACAATCCTTTCCCCAAATACAGTTAATACTCTTCTCATCTTGTTGGAGGGAGCTGAGGTGTAATCACCATATAAGCAAGCAATATGAGGAATAGCTTTCGGGAGACATCTCCCGTCACGCAGGGTGCAGTAGCACCTCCACAGATCTCCAGTATCAGCTCTTGATACTGGTAATGGCTCAAAAGGGCCACCACTTACGGGCTATTCATGCCCGTGCCACCTTTTGGGTGGCTTAATCTTTATCAATCAATCAATCGGAATAGCGGCCACCATTTGGTCACCACTTGGTCCGGGAGACATCTCCCGTCACGCAGGGTGCAGTTGCGCCTCCACAAATCTCCAGTATCATCTTTTGATACTGGTAATGGCTCGAAAGGGCCACCACTTACGGGCTATTCATGCCCGTGCCACCTCTTGGGTGGCTTAATCTTCATCAATCAATCAATCAATCAAGAAGATATATATATCCACCACTTGGTCCGGGAGACATCTCCCGTCACGCAGGGTGCAGTCGCGCCTCCACAGATCTCTAGTATCAGCTCTTGATACTGGTAATGGCTCAAAAGGGCCACCACTTACGGGCTATTCATGCCCGTGCCACCTCTTGGGTGGCTTAATCTTCATCAATCAATAGCGGACAGTACAATTTCCAGTCAAGAATGTATGTAGTTCTTGGCGTAGGCAGTTCTAATCGTCTCCAAGACGCTACAGCTTCGACACAGAACAGGCAGCAGACTAGGACCGCATAGAGCTACAATGCTCTCCCACATAGAGCTCCGCGACTCCGGCCTCACTCAGCCAGTGCTGCCAGATTGGGCTACAAGGAGCGAATTGGGCTACTTTTGAGAGCCCCCGCGCTCCCAAATTTTTAATTTCGCTACTTGCTACTTTTTGGGCTAATTTAAAAGTAAGATGTGCTAATTTGGGCTATTAATGTTAAGAATGTACGATTGCGAGTTACATGAAAGTAACTAAGTTATAAATAATTGTAATTAATAATAATTGTAAATATTAATTAATACTAAATAATATTATTTTTATAAATTAGTCCCAATTCAATGCAGAGTTTTCTTCCAAGCACAAAAACTTGTAAATAGAAATACAAGATAATAGATAGATCGATAAATAAATAGACAACTTTCAAATATTGCACCAAGTAATGGCGAGAGGAAAAAACTAGACAGTATACATTACATTTGAAATTAATAATGGATGAATGGTAATAAATTGGTGTATGTTTGTATGTATACCAGA